TACCAAAATTTTATGTGTGAAATTAGACAGGTATGTGTTCACATATGGTGATACGATATTTTCTTGGAAGTTGACCGAGCGAGCACGAACAACAACATGGAATCAAGCCGATTTGATAGCATTATACGACAGTGATCGAGAGCGAGCATGGTAGAGATTGATGGTGAATCTCATACAAGGAGCATGCAGTTTGAAAGAAATCAAGAAGAATGTTACAATTATATGTAAAGATAACGCAACATGCATAACTCAAATCAAGGAAGGCTACATCAAGGGAGACATAACGAAGTAAATCTCAGTAAAGTTTTTCTCAACATCTGATCAGTAGAAAGAAGGAGAGATCGATGTTCTTCAAGTTAAATCAAGCAAAATTTGACGGACTTATTCACCAAATCTTTGCCTAGACACAGACACACAGTTTTGAGCAACTCATAAAGAAGATTGGACTTCGCAGGCTAAAAGAGATAAATTAGTTTGAGGGGGAGTATATTCTTAGTAAGGTTTTTAATGAGGCAGCATAACTGATCCTGCAGTATCAGTTAATATAGGTCTTGAAGAACCTAGCACACATTATCCCGTAGCATAATGTTGTTAGTGTATAATGAACGATGATGTATCTGAGAGGGAGTGTTAAATATGGCAGATATATTACTCTTATTATTTAGAATATCTGATTACCTTGTTTACCTAGACTTTACCTCCTCCCTGTGTATGTATAAATACCCCGACATATGATGAATAAAGTACTCAGTTCACAACAATTAGGAGGATTTTTTTTAGAGCATTTCCAAAGAGTTTTCTTAAAAAAATGGGTTGGAAATTGCTATTTTAGCAAACAATTAGTGTTTTACTTGCTTATTTTTCAATAATTTCTTCAACCAAATTATTTTGAGTTCTACTTATTTATCTATGTGTATTATTTCCTCTGTCACAATTCAAATCACCTGTTTTGGTTTACGATGATTGATTGAAGTTATTTTTAATAGAAAATGTTTAAATATTAGAACCGAATTAAAAAAAATAAAATTTACATACTCCCTCTGTCCACCATAGATCTTCCCAGACACTATTCACAGAGTCAAACTTTACTCACTTTGTTTGCTCATTTTTAGTAGTCATATCATAAAATAATATAGTCTTGTCACCTCTAGTTTTGTAGAACTTTTCATGTAGTTTATTACTATATAAATTTTATTTTAAAATTTTACTCCTATAATCAATTAAATTGAATTGAAAATAAAGTCGGTCAAGCCTCGTAACGCGTAATGAGAAGATCTTACATGGACGGAGGGAGTATTTAAAAACAAACTAAAAGCTCTACAAAACAAAAAGCAACATGATTATAATATTTTATTAAATGAGTAACAAAAATAAGAAAAGAAAGAATGAAGTTTGACCACGCAAATAATAAACATGCAACTTAATTTAAGATGGAAGAAAAGTAATTTTATAAATAATCCTTTTATATTATACTCACATTTTCACATTTTTGTGTAAAATTTATGGAACATAATATAAGTAGCAACTACGGAGTATATTTTTAAGAAAACTCCCTAAATAGGAGTAAAACATATATCATATCCTCAAAATATGATTCAAACTTAAACTACTCTAAATAAGAGTAATTAATCAAAATTTTGTTTTCATTTACTCTTCGTCTCTCCCACACAAACCACACCACATCTCAGCCCTATGCGGTCAAAAAAGTCACCCGGCCCCTTCCCAATCCCATCCTTCTACGATCTCCTTCGTTCTAATCTCAGTTGCTAACGCTGTCAACCTAATCTCAATCCCCTCTCCGCCGCTACCATCTCCTCTATGCGGCAATGATTCCACCGCACTCTCCATCATCTCCCTTTCTCTCATACACACCCCTCTCCACTATTTCCATTTTTCATCGCTCGGATACCTCCGTCCTCTTGGGTAAGTTGAATTCAATTTGATATTTAATTTGACATAAGTAGTTAAATTCAATTTTAAATCTAAAAATTTACTTCTTCAGGAATTAATTTGTAAAATTGGTACAAATTATTTTAGCCTTGCATGAGTTTGAAACTTTAGATTCAATTTTATATTCAATTTCACATAGGTTGTGACATTTGATTTTAAATCCGGATTTACTTTTTAGAAAATTATTTTGTAAAACATATATTTAAACTAAATTATTATTGTGTTGGCAAATAGAGTTTCTTGATGTTTAACTTTTTTTTAGGTTATGCATTAACATATGTGTTATATGTAACATTATACTTTGGCATATTTGTCATTATACATTGCAATGTGTGACACTATATATTATCATATTTGACATTATATATCTCTTGGTTTAACATTACGCATTTGCATATATGACTTTATACAATGACATGATTGACATTATGCGGTTACGTGTGGCGTTAAATATGGTCTTGTTTGACACTTTATATACATTTTACTGTAGCAATTTACTGAGTTTCTGTTATTGCGTAAGAATTTTGACATATATCTACAAGGTGATGTTTGACACTCTATGAACCAGAGGCAACAATTAAAGGTGAGGTTTATCAAGTTCCTTTTCTCTTCCTAAGAATGTGAAACCAGAATATTTGAGTTGTGAATTAGGATACACATATAAATATTCAGGCTCAAGGTAGAAAAGGCCATATTTGTCTGTGGTACTGAGCTTTGAGTGTGATTTTGTTGTCTTCCCTTGACGATATAGTTAAAAGAATCGTTTATTGACAATATTTTAACTTTGGGTAAAAAAATTAGCCGATTTAGTAGTTAGCTGTTATTTTGATTAAAAAAATAAATATAATGTCCTATTTTATTTTCCGACTCGAAAATATAAACTATTTGTAAAGTCAACCTTTTAATTTAAAAAATAGGTAATTGGGTTGATCTCGTAAAAATGTGACTAACAGCATATAGTTTGTTAAGTTTAGACTTTGGTGTAAAAAGTTATGAGCAAAATAAATATTACAGTTCAATAAATAGATATAAAGATTTTATAATATAATAATAATAAATAATTAATTTCCTAATCTATTCTAATTCCTACCCATAAGGCCGACCATGACTCAATGCCAAGGCCCAACCCCCCTTAACGCATGCAAGAAAAGAAAAAAAAGGGAGAAAGACCAAATTAGTACTAAAATATTGAAAATATACCAAAATAGGACTTCCATGTTTTTATTTTCGAAATAGGACTTACATTACCAAATATGGTCATATACATTACCAAAAAAGTATAGTTATTTGCACATGTACATTGTCACATTACCACAATGCAAAGTCACATTACTACAGTGCAAAGTCCTATTCCGGGAAAAAAAACATGAAAGTCCTATTTTGGTACTTTTCTCTATGTTTTAGTCCTATTTAGGATGATTTCTAGAAAAAAACAAAAAAGGGAGAAGAGAGCGTGTCAAGAGAGATACTGCTAATTGAGGACAAAATTAATTAATTACTCCTATTTAGAGGAGTTTAAATTTGAGCTCTTATTTTGAGAATATAACATAACTTTTACTCATAGTTTGGTCCTTTTCCCTATATTTTTTTTAAAATATTCAAGTGTGTTTGTTATTAATAACAATTGTGTTTGTTAAAATGATATCATTTGAGTTTCCCATACTCCATCATTATCGTTCGTCATTTTTTGGTTCAAAGAATTTAAAGAAAAAAAAATGATTTGGAAAATCACTTTTATGTTTGGCTAGGGATGAAAAGAAAAGAAAAGTGGAAGGAAAAAAAAATGATAAACTAAATTAAACTAAAAATGATTAAAAACTTCATTTGAGTTAAATATCTTCGCCGCTCTCAAGTATTCTCTTCAATTTTAGTTTGTAGTTTTCATTACTTATTTAAAATTTCTCCCTATTATTTCCTCTCCTTTTTTAAAAACTTTTTTTAAGTTTTATGTAGTACGTTTAAGTTTAAAAAACGTTGCTTCGTGTACCAAAAAATCATTGCTTCATTTTTAAAACGTTTCTTTCTTTTTTTTTCAAATAATTACTTTTTTTCAAAGCATTGTTTTTTTTATAAAAAAACAGAGAGTTGCTTCAAATTTGCTTTTTAAAACTGTTTTCCCTTTTTAGCTAGAATAAAAATGTATTTGAAAGTTTAGTGTTTTCTTTTATTTGCATGTAGTTTTTCATTGTATTTGAGACGTGTATTAATTACGTAGTACTTGTCAAGTTGTACATTAGCTTTTACATCAATCATCTCATCACCCAACATTAATCTTTTTATTCAGACCAAAAGTGTGGTGCATAGAGTCAAATGATGATGAGAATAGTGTCTAGTGATGCTGGACATTGAGTTTGAACAATGTCTAGTGGCGGTGGGCAATTTGTACACCAGCTTCTACATCAATCATCTCATCACCCAACATTAATCTTTTTATTCTAATTCTGTTATTGGGTAGCACTGTGTAGGGTGAATTCCCTACCAGAGTGTCATATACTCGCACCTCATTCCATTATATGCATTTTGAAAATATGTTTTCCCCCATAAAACTAATCAGAGTTGGCTACTCCGTTTGGGATATTATTATTTATCTAAACGGATTAGCCTAATCTGTTTCTCTTATTTAATTACCAAACGGATTAGGCTAATCCGTTTCACTATTTATTTTTTTAAAAAATAATTTTCTTAATGCGCGGAGCTCATTGTTGTTTGTTCCAAAAAATTTTCCTTTAAACTTTTAGTTATTTTAACTCCACTTTTATAAACTTTTTTAACAAATTAACTCCACTTTTATAAAAATTTTTTCCTTTAAAATTTTCTAACTTTATTTTATAAAAATATTGCAATTAAAAAAATTTAACATTTTTAGTTTCTGAATGAAACCAATTAACTTTTGTTACTTATAAATTATATACAAAAACTAAATTAATTACAAAATAAAGGAAACATACATAAAGAAGATGTAATTAAAAATTATACTATAAAAAATTTTTTAAAAAATAATATTTATTGACTTTAAGTGATATTTATATAACGAAATTAAAAGAAGAAGACAAAATACAATAAATTTATTGCTAGAGTACATATAACAATTTATTCATAAAAAGAAGAAGACAAAACACAATCCATGACTAACTTATTTATAAAATTTAATAATACATAAACTCATACATAAATGAAATTCATGACATAGCTATTCCTCGTTGCGCTGTCTCCGTGGTCGATAGTCCATGTTATTCGGATAGCGAGTTCTCATAGGTCAGCCGGTTCGTGTGCTCTATTGCGGCGTTGGCCTCAGTATCCCGTACTCTGGAGTAGGCCATTCAGACTCATCTGGAAGCGGCATTATTATGCGAGAGTAAGTGTTGATGTAGGACTGAATTGAAAACACATTTGGAATCAAATGACCCACGGTGACACGGCAGTAATGACATACTGCGTGGACATGACTGCACGGGATGTGAAATGTTACCCATTGACCACAGCTACATGTTCGTGCATTTAACTTCACCGTAAATGTCTCCAGCTGAGCAATGTTGGACGACCCATCCACCACCACAGAGTATATCCCTTGTTGTGTGTGGTGCTGCACAACACGACAATAAAGCTTATTTTCTTCATTTTTCCTAATATGTTTCCACACATTCATAGGAAATTTGTACCCCAATTGCTGCCATACATATCCATTTGTTCGCCTCTCAGCGAAAAGTTTGACCAACTTATCATAGGTGAACTTCACAATGGCATATACGGGCAAATAATGACATCCCTTAAGGACATTATTGAAACTTTCAGACGAATTCGTAGTCATTATACCATAACGTGCGCCACCTTCATCATGTGACAACGCCCACATGTGTTTTGGAATAGCATTAAGCCAGTTGTAAGATTCTTGATTTTTGGACGCTATTCGGAGGAGCAACTGGTTAAACTCACTTCTATTCGGGGCCTCACCAGCTTTGTACATCAAGGTCCGCAGCTTCTTACTTCGGAACTTCTTCCAGAAATTGCTTCGTAGGTGGCGAAGACAATATCTTTGAGTCACTAGACCTCCACCCAACTCTAGAACATTTGCAAATGCATGGTAAATACCACCGTGTGTATCAGATATTATGAATACATGGCGGTGTGGGGGTACGACATGACGCATAACATTCGTCATGAACCATTTCCATCTTGCACCATCTTCAGCATCCACAATGGAAAAGATAGGGGAAAAATTTCACCATTTCCTGTCATTGCCATGGCAAGTAATAAACATCCCTTATACTTGCTGTATAAGTGAGTTCCATCCACTAAAATAACTGGAAGAAAAATGTAAAATCCATCTATGGATGCCTTGAAGGACTAGAATACATACCTGAAGTGAAAACAAGTTGGTGAATCGGTTGATTGCATTTGCCTTCTTGTAAGACACAGAGATCTGGAACAACTCATAAACATCCCTGATAATGAGTTTGACTTTATAGTCAGCATCTTCTTGAATTTTTGGACCTATCAGGGTACTTATGAGTTCACTTGTTAACAATTTGTCGTCCTTGGCTCTTGTGTAATCTGGTCTACATTGGTGGTACACCTGGTATTGCTTTATGGTCCACAGAGTTGTCCCTGCATTCTCTGCGGCTTGGATGAACGAAGTGCAAACGCTGTGAAAGCATAAGAAAACCAAAGTAACGTCCAACAGTCCATATAATCAAATAAAATAATGTAGTTTAATTATTAAAGTAAACAAGAGCCATCCACGCCACACCACCACATCACTGCCATCCGGGTTGCCCATCCAAATCTGTGTTCCTACCTGCGTGCAGTCAAACAACAACGACTACACGCTCAGCGAAACGCTGAGTGAAAATATACCTAAGCTAGCATTAACTCACAGAATAGCACCACATTAACATACAATCAACAACAGCATGTGGTCACGGAGAAAAATAGCTTAAATAAACATATTTATATTAACACCTTCCATTTGAACATCATGCCCTTATTTTATTCTACATCAACTACTTTGAGTCATGGCACCCCAAGCGATGCTGTAAAAGGGCTAGCTCAGAAACCCAAAGAAGATTCACTTTGGGCGGGTTGAAGCCCCTGTCCCTGCGATGCCAGGACAGGTTGCGGAGTTTCGTACGTACGTTTTTAACCCAAGACCACCGGGGGTGCGACAACGCCCCGCAATAAACAACTTCCTAACCATATCCTATTGGTGATTCAATCAGTCAATCCAATTCAGGCCCGCCTAATTATACTAGGTGGCATATTTCCCATATATCATTCATAATTCACAATATTCACCAATAAGATCAATTTAATTTAAATCTCAGTTCACAATTCAGAACAAGTCACGTAGTGGCCTATCTGGGCCAAAGACCCGCGATTACCATCATGTATAATCAAACAACCCGAATTACAATTAACCCAACTTACCTCCGCGGAGTCGAGACCAAGGAATCGATCCTCGGGCCCGCTGCCCCCGCCGAAGCAGTATTAATTACCACCGGATCAGCCGACAACCCGCCGAACCGACCAGACAGCCCCAACCCGCTGCCCATTCAGGCAGCCCCACTCAACCGGACCAACACTGCCGACCCAACGGCCCAACGCAGCCGGCCTTACAGCCGGACCCACTAGCCTAGCAGCTCGGACAGTCGGCCCAACGACCCGGTCAGCCGCAATTGAATCCAAACCGACACGTTTGCACAAAAATCAATCCCAATTGAAACCCGATTGCACAAGAGCTAACCCTATTGAACCCGAATTGACCCGATTAAACCAATTGGGTCCAAATCAAACCAAATGGCTTCCAAATTGGACCCGCCGGAAACAGCCCATACGTCAGCCGTAGCCACCACTGGCCAGCCGCCGGCCAATCGCCGGAAAACAGCCCCCCAACACACCCCCAATCCAATCTAATGCACAATCAACCACAAATTTCACAATCAAACACAAAATTGATACCACAAGATCCTAAACTACGAATTAATGCCAACTATAGGTATAGGAATCACCAATCACCTCGAATGATTGAAGAATTAGAAACCAAATCGAAAGAGGGATGCTCGCCGCTGCACTCCCTGCTGCGGCCGAATCTACTGTGTGACGGGGAAGAAGGGGCGGGCAGCGACGGCGGCGTTCAGGCGGCTCGGCAGCGGCGTCTCTCTCCCTGGCTGGCGGAACGACGAACGGAAGTGGAGCGTAGAGGGACCGACAGAAACGTATGAGGAAGAGTGAATGTGTGTTTGTGTAACCCCCTCATGCTTTTACTTAATATAAGAATTAATTAAATTCTGGGTCCTGTTTACACTTTCTAACCCGTCAGGATGTATTTAGGTCTAATTACCTTATTTGGCAGTCATATCTTGGGCCCAGTAAGTCCGATTTCAATCCGTTTGCACGGTCGGGTTCAGAACAGCGAGCCCTACAACGTAGCTCAACTCTCATATTAAATACGCAAATTAGAAAATAATATTCATTTTGACCGACTTAGTAATTAATTAATTATATAAATTAATTAAAAATACCAAGATAGGTTTTGGGGCGTTACATTTCTCTCCCCCCTAAAAAAGAATTTCGTCCTCGAAATTACCTGAATCATTATCGCAGAAGACATGAGGATACTGAATTCTCATGGACTCCTCAGGCTCCCACGTAGCCTCTTCGATAGCATGGTAAAGCCAGGGGACTTTGACTAGAGGCACCCTCTTATTACTCAACTCTTTCACTTCTCGTGCTAGAATCTGCACAGGCTCCTCCTCATATGTCAAGTTCTCGTCCAGAGTCACCATGCCTTTGGGTAACCGATGGGTCGGATCTGATCGGTAACGTCGGAGCATAGACACGTGGAACACGTTATGAATCTTGCTCAGTTCAGGTGGTAGCTCCAACTGATAATCTACAGGGCCAACCTTCGCAGTGATGGGATAAGGCCCAATGAAACGGGGACTTAATTTTCCTCTCTTTCCAAATCGTAGAACCTTTTTCCAAGGTGACACCTTAAGAAAAACCTTATCCCCCACTTCGAAGGAAATCTCCCGACGCTTCAAGTCCGCATAAGATTTTTGCCGGTCTGATGCTGTCTGCAAATGCTCACAGATCAACCGTACCTTTTCTTCTGTCTCACGAACGAGTTCGGGACCTTCTAACCTCATCTCGCTCAATTCAGTCCAGCACACTGGTGTTCTACACCTCCTCCCGTACAATGCCTCGTATGGGGCCATCTAAATACTTGCGTGATAACTATTATTATAAGAAAACTCCATCAACGGCAAGTATCGCTCCCAATTTTCCCCAAAGTCGATCCCACATGCTCTCATCATGTCCTCAAGTATCTGTATCACGCGCTCAGATTGACCGTCAGTCTGAGGGTGGAAGGTTGTGCTCAAGTTTTACTTTGTACCCAAGGCCTGCTAAAGTCCCTTCCAGAACTTTGAAGTGAAACGGGGATCTCTGTCTAAGATAATGGTTACAGGTACCCCATGCAACCGAACAATCTCGCGGAGGTACAACTCCGCTAACTTCTATAGTGACATATCCCGTCGAACAGGTAGGAAATGCGCAGATTTTGTAAGACGATCCACGATGACCCATACAGCATCATTCTTACAGGGAGACAAGGGCAGCCCAATCACGAAATCCATCGTGATTTGCTCCCACTTCCACTCAGGAATAGAAGGCGGATGCAACAATCCTGATGGTACTTGATGTTCGGCTTTTACCTGCTGACAAGTCAAGCATCGTGCTGTAAACTCAAAAATTTCCTTCTTCATCACAGGCCACCAATAGTTCCCCTTTAAGTCGTGGTACATCTTGTTACTTCTCGGATGTATAGTGTATGCTAACTCGTGAGCCTTATGTAACAGACGCTCCCTCACGGCCCCGCATGGTACCACAAGACGGTTGCGGAAAAACAAGATTCCATGAGTACCAACAGTAAACTCTGGTCTCTTCCCACTAGAGACAAGGTCCCGTGTCATGCGATAGAACTCATCGTCCACCTGAGCATTCCGGATTTCCATATCCAACGTTGGTTGTACATGGAGTTCAGCTATCAGCTTGCGCCTCAAGGCATCAGCCACCACATTAGCCTTGCCTGGGTGATACTCGATGGTGAAATTGTAGTCCTTGAGAAGTTCTAACCAGCGCCTCTGTCTCAAGTTCAGATCCTTCTGGGTCAACAAGTACCTCAAACTCTTATGATTAGTATATATAAGAATCTTTTCATCGAAAACATAGTGTCGCCAAATTTTCAAGGCAAAAACAGCAACTGCTAGCTCCAGATCGTGAGTCGGATAATTACCCATTTACCCTCATGGGGTTTCAGCTGCCTCGAGGCATAGGCAACCACCCTACCTTCTTGCATGAGTACACAACCCAATCCACAAAGAGATGCATCACTGTAGATCGTGTACTCACAACCCGGTTCAAGCTGGATCAGCACCAGGGCTTTAGTCAAACACTCCTTCAGCCGATCAAAACTGCTCTGGCACGCGTCTGTCCATGCAAACCTCACATCCTTCCGTAGGAGTTTAGTAAGAGGGGAAGCATTTGCGGAGAAGTCTTTCACGAACCGACGGTAGTACCCTGCCAGTCCGAGAAAACTCTTCACTTCCCTAGCATTACGGGGAACCTTCCAGTCAACTATAGCAGAAATCTTACTCGGGTAAACCTTCACCCCTTTAGAATAGATCACGTGACCTAAGAAAGTCACCTCCTCAAGCCAAAACTCACACTTGGACAACTTTGTGTAGAGTTTCTACTCCCTCAGGATGGTTAATACTTTTTGCAAGTAGCACGCATGTTCCTCGGTATTCTTTGAGTAAACGAGGATGTCATTAATGAAGACGACGACGAATTGATCCAAGTACGGCCGGAAGACACTATTCATTGGATCCATAAAGATAGCAGGTGATGGGTGTATTCCACCCAGGACCGGTCAAAACAGATGACTAAATAGTCGACCGGTCAAGTGGATCCTAGTTGAAAGGGAGACCTTAATCGTCAGTAACAGGGTGCTCGATGGACCAATACGTTGACCAGTATACTTTCGATGGTATACCGCTCAAACTACTTTATCTCCTCGTTCATTCCCTAATTTCGGTAAACTTATCCCTCAGAAACTACCCGGTGTAGTTTCTAGGGTTAGAAAGTGTTGGCAGAGAAGAATCCAAAGGAGATTGGACCGTAGCGACCAAGAACAATGGAGAATCGCTGGAGATACTTAAACAATCCATCCAAGGTGCTACATGACAAAGGGTGCAATCTTCCTCGCAAGGTGACAAAACAGCTAGAGGACGAAGACCATCACCTCTCACCATCCAAGAACGTGCCTCAACATGGGTGCACGATGCCTTGTCCCCTATGGCTTAGTATAAATACTACTGTAACCTTCGAAGGAAGGGATCCGAATTCCTTCTCTCTAAACTCCCTTGTAAAAGCTCCCGTGTATTCTCCTATATTTATAATATCAATTGGGCTACAGGTGTTTCCACCTACAGTCCTCCCGGTCATTTGTGTATTTTTACCTTTTTACTTTCCGAATCAAGTAAACAATCCTAGACCCGGTCTAGTATAGTTTACCTAGCCGGCAAACTCTGCCTCTGTGATGTCGGTGAGATTAACTCACATCCCTACACCAAGCATGGCGACGCCATTCACGGTTCCGATCCCTTCTGCTGGTCCAAGGGTCACCACCAAGCATGACCCAATTCATGAATGATTCGGCTAACCTACAAGCCATCCAGGGCTTTGGACAGGTCATGGCCATGTGCCAGTAGAATGGGGGGGTGCCATTCGTCCCAGGAATGTTTCCATTTGCCCTTCTAGGCGCTGGAACATGCAATGCCCCTGCAAACTCCAATGGTGGTGTTGCCATTTCAGACTCCGGTACCACTGCCTTCACCTTTCCAGCCACAGGTGGTCAGTGCTGTGGCCCCCGTCAACTTGACCGGTGCACTCAACGTCGCTGGTCCGTCACGCCCTCCACAGAGCGCCCATCTCTAGATTACTCCTGATGGTCATTGCATCTCTGTGGAAAGTGATGATGAAGAGTGGGACGTCCCTAGAGCCCACAAGAAGAAGAAGGGAAATGCCCTCAAGCCGACAACTTCCCGAAACTCGCCTTCGAAAGGCTTAGAGATAGGGAAGAGGGTTAGAGGAAGTCGGCCAAGCTGAGATTAGGGCAGAGCATTGCCCATGTTAGCACGTTCGCCCAGTTAGGCGAGGGGAGGGAGGCCGAGCCTGCCCATACCCAGCGCTCCTGATCGAACCGGCAGGAGCCTACGAGGATAAGGGCTTCTCGCCAAGAAGAAGAAGCGGAAAGTCAGCCCCGTGGACGGGTGGTTAATTGGCTAACCATGCCGAATGATTGCGTCCAGCAGATGGAAGCAAAACTGGAAAGGCTGGAAAAAAAAGTGGGAGAGAAGAGTGACCGGGATAAACCTCTTGCTGGTTCACCTTTCACTAAAAGGGTCCATCTGACACCTTTCCCACGAAAGGTCAAGATAGATGCCCCAAAGTTTACCATGAAGGAAGATCCAGAAATTCACCTGGACTCCTTCAATCAGAGTGCAACCATGAATGGGTGCATGGACGAAGAAAAATGCCTCCTTTTCTTCCAAACCTTACGAAACCGAGCTACTGAATGGTTCAATAAGCTTCGCCCAGGGAGCATTGATTCGTTCAGCGACTTGGCTTCAAAATTCAAGGCCAAGTTCCAGGAGAATTGTACTAAGAGGAAGAAGTTCACATATCTTAGTACAGCCGGGTAGAGGGAATCTGAGAACCTCACTCAATTCCTTACCCGGTGGAAAGAAGAAGTCGACAAGGTTGAGGAGATGGATGACAAGACGGTCTTGTCTCTCCTCTTGAACGACTTATGTGCCAAGGAACTATAAAAACAGTTCTGCCAGAAACCACCGGCCACGTATCAAGAAGCCTACCACACGGCGTGGGAATTTGCTGAGGCTGAAACCATCCTTCAGGAGAAGAAAGAAGTTGAGCATGGTTTCAAGCACAAGTCGGCCAAGGCACCACTATGACCCGGTCGTCCGTGTGGTCAATACAGTTGTATAAATACTAACTCGACGGAGCAATAACAATACGTAAGTTTGGGTTTGGTTTTTTTGCTTGATTTTTACACACAAAAAAAGCCGAACGGAAGGTTAGTGTTCTCATTGGTTCAATTTTATATACAAAATATTGGTGTTTATATTCTTAGATTTTTTAAAGTTTATAATATGGTTAAAATGTTTATATTCTTAAATTTTTTAAAGTTTATAATATGGTTAAAATGTTTAATTAATAGTTAAGAAAAAACTTTAATTGACTAGTAATTTATTTGCATTTTTGTTTATATGATTTTTATACATATCACATATACTCATATAAATAAAATGAAGCATATAAATAAGTTTGGTTTATTCGGTTCGGTTCGGTTTTTCAAAGTAAAAACCAAAACGAAACTAAATAATAACGGTTCGGTTCGGTTTTTTTACATTCGGTTTCGGTTTTTTCGGTTCGGTTTTTTTTCTAGCTCGTTTCGATCGATTTTAGTTTGGTTTTCGGTTTTCGGTTTTCCCGACCCAGCCCTAAGTGAGCTGGTCCTGACTTGGCCTTCTTTGATAACTGGATACCAGACCCACTCAGAGGTCTCTTCCCCGAATTGGCCTTACCAATACTGGCTACCTGCACCGACATCTTGTTCACCTTCTGCTCCACTACCAGCTTCGCTCCCTCTCTAGTCCTGACCACCTCCATAGCCTGCTCATACATGATGCCAAAGTCTTGCTTGGACGCCGTAGACATACCCTCTTAGAGGTTCATGCGCATGCCCTTAACAAATCTATCGCAGCGTCTCTTTGTAGTGTTCACCAGATCTTGAGCAAACTCTTCCAGGTGGTCAAAGAGTTGCCGGTATTCCGGAAGGCTCATGGTCCCCATCTCCAGGTGCACAAATTCCTCTCGTTTTTCCTCAACAAAAGACTCCGGGATGTACTCCTCCCTGAACACGCGATCAAAGTACTCCCACGTCAATTGGAGAGGATAGTAGGCATTCCGTGTGGTGTGTTTCCAACACTCATACGTGTTGTTCTGCAGCAACATCACAACGAGATCAGCACACTCACCCACGGGGACCCTTAAATTCTCGAACACACAGCGAGATCAGCACACTCACCCACGGTGGAAAGAATTACCGTACAAATTCTTTGTACGGTAATTCGACAAGATTGGCAGAGAACTGATGTCCTTCAACAATCAATGGACAGTCTTGATACACATGATCTAACCTCATACTATGTCCTAACGGGTTAGACACTAGTATAGGTTGTTCCAATTGTTCTTTCATTATGTCAGCTTTTTCACGCATATGTACACAGATATAAGACAACGTTGATCCAGGGTCTATCAACACATGCATGACAGTATCAAATAAGGAAAACATACCCTGAATGACGTCAGGGCTTTCCTCAGTTTGTGCCTTCATTGCATATGTACGAGCAGGAGCTCGTCCTTGTTGTTGGTTCTGATTCTTAGCTGGCTTAGACCCCGCTGTTGAGCGTTGACTTGGTGCGGGTCGTGCTGATGCAGACTGGCTAGCAACAGGAGCAGATGGAAATGGTTCTCCAGGGTTTGTAGGGCACTCCTTTTTGAAATGTCCTGGTTTTCCACAGCCAAGGCACAACCCTTGCTTCAACCAACACTGTCCAGGGTGGTTCCTTCCACAGTGTTCGCAAGCAGGATACTTTCGCTTCCTGGATCTATCAACGGATGCCATCGATTGAGTTTGCACAAATTTTCCCTTTTTAGAAAAATGTGAGTTACTAGATTCCTGAAATGGCCTTTTTCCTTTTGAGGCAGAATTAGTGGAATGGTAAGTGTTTGGACCAGCATTGTTTGCCTTTAGGTACTCAATGCAAGCATTCAGCCTGGCTATGATCTCGTAGGCCTCTGCGAAGTCCACAGTGGTTAAGACGGACACACGTGACCTCAGGTCAGGTCGAAGTTTCGTTCTGAATTCCTCAATGCGATCGGTTGGGGTACTCACCAAGGTTGGCGCAAACTTTGCAAGCTTGGTAAACTTCTGACGATATTCAGGGAGTGTCATGTTTCCCTGTTCCAGCTCCACAAATTCCTTACGTTTTTCCTCACTAAAATGTTTCGGAATATATTCTTGCTTGAATGCCCATTCGAAATGTGCCCAAGTCCACGGCTTAGGGGTTCCCGTACTCTCATCGGTTCTCTTCCACCACTCGTAGGCTTCATTGCGCAGCAGTTGAGAAGACAGTCGAGGGTAGTTGTCTATAGGTACGTTGAGATCCTTCAACACTCGAGCAGTCTGCTCGATCCAGTCCCACGCAATTTGGGGTTCACCGATGCGATCCCCAAGGAATAATTCTGCATCGTTATCCCTTATCATTTTGTAGGTTATCACTCGAGGTGGCGGTGGTGGAGGTGGTTGAAACATCGGCGCGTTGGCTATTTGTTGTAACACATTGGCCAGAAAAGTTGGGATCACAAGGTCGGGTTGACCACCAGCGTTCGGGTTATTCCCAACATTTTGTTGATTGACATGTTCATTTTGGATGGGAGGGGTGAAACTAGATGCTTCAGTATGAACACTGACGTGTTCATTGTTGTTGCCTTGTCCATGGGCAGATTCTTGACTCATTCTACAATAACAGAAATTCCTTTATTAGGATTCTTTTATTCAGTAGTTGAGTTTAAGACAGGAATTGCAAAGGATTACAGTAGTCGATACAATCAATGGATTTGAAACGATTAACAAGATAGTTTCTAAACATTTGCGTTCAATTGGTTGGATCGTGACGAATCTATAGCTGGTTCTTCTACGCCTGATCCACATACGCTATTGGCAGAGTCTACGCTGAACGTCTCTTCTGGGTCGTCTCGTTCCCATGCAGCCTTACGGCGCAAATAAATCCTTCGTTTCATTATTCTCGCGAAGCGATGTGCACGTTGGTAACGTATCAACGAGTCATAGACATTTCGTTTGTTCTTTCGTCTTTTACCAAGTACGAAAGTGCGACTTGAATCAACACTTGATATCATTTCCGAATTAACAGTGGACATCTATAAAATTTGATATAGTCAATTTCAACACTCATTTTATTTTTTATTTTTTTTTTTTACCTTCCTGGAGCAGAGGGATGCGAGAGTCGTGGATTTAATTGACATTATTATTATTATTATTATTATTATTATTATTATTTTTAAACAAACTTTTGATCCGAAGATCGGTTTTAAAACCATTTGCTCTGATACCAAATTGTAATACCCTAATCCGTCCAGGTCTGCAGCCCCTTTCAGACTAAAGTATTAACTTAGGAAATCATAAATTTAAAACGTTTCAAATGCTTTTATTCATCATAAATATTATTTAGTACATAATTGTAGCAAAATGCAGAGTGTTTAACAATAATGCGGAAGCAATTTAAACCATGTTTAATAACAACATAATTATTTATTTAAAATCACAAATTTCACCACGACAATCTCGCCCCTTGTGCTGCCAGGAACAAGCCAATCATTCATTCAGTCTACCTGCGTGTAGCAAATAAAACATACTACACGCTCAGCGATGAAGCTGAGTAAGCATATCTAAAGCGTCGAACATCCACATAAATTGAATCTCAATTCACAAACAACCATTTGATATCATGCACACAATATATAATTCATTCATGATATTTTCAATTTTTTTAATATTCAACATTCAATACTCAACAATATCCTTAACTA